CCAGGAGTCCGTTTTTGGCATTCGTTTCGGGAGATCGATCTTCTAGGTGGCCGAAATGAGCCCGACAGTCACCCCTTTCGTCGCTGCTCTTGCGGTTTTTTCCTACATGCTCCATCGCCGGAATTGTTTGAAGGGAAGTGATCACGTGGAGGAATGGAGTCGTCTGAGACTCTCCTTCAAGCCTCTCATTGCCGGAATCTCTAGATTTCGCCGGAGTCCGTTGCTGCGCCGTTGAGAGTAAGCAGAAGCTGCACCCATGCCGCTGGAGCTCCGGTCGCTACAAGGAAGAGCTGGATTTGTGTCCAGCGCCGAAAAGGAGACCGGTCGCCGCCTTGCTCCCGTCGAGCCGTCGCCGGAAGGAGAAGGGATGGAGAGGAACGTCTGCCACTGCCCCCAGGGAGAAGAAGAAGAAGGAGAAAAGAAGAAAAGAAAGGAGGAGTCTAGAGCTTCTAGACTGTTGGCTCAAGGGTCAATTTTATCTTGAGATTTTGATGATTATACAAAACAAATAAATTTAATATTCTTGTATGTGCTAATATTATTTTATGCAGATTTTTCGTATTGATTTATACAAAAAAACAAAATAAATTTAAAATATCTCTCTGTAATCTGGCTCAATATTATTTTATGTGCCAGGAAATGATTTCATTTGAAGAAAATTGAATGTTCCTACATCCCCAAGATTTTTATTTGAAAGGACCATGAAGATTAATTTTGAAGTATTTTCTATTGTTCAGTATTATTAATAAGTCTTTAGGAAATTTATTGTAGGAATAGAGAGTAAATGATATTATAAGCACAAATCTATATTTATATCTTCTCCCAAAATTGTTTTGAATATGTTTGAATTAAATTTATTTAAGAGGGATATAGCCAAAATTCTTTATTCTTCAACATTTCCTATTCCTTAAAATATCTTGGCAGTAAATTTCTGGGTAGGCTATTAAATAAAATTCTGTGCAAACACAAAGTTTATTTTTCTGATTTCCTTAAAAAAAACAGGTTTCTGAATTTAATACAGCTGTCTGTTTCTTAATACAGGCTAGGCTGTTATCTGATATAATTGTTACACTGTTTCTAAACTGAACCTTTCCATCTCAAACCTTGCATGCGTGGATGAATATTTAAAATGTGGTCCTAACAGGCCCTTTTAATTGCAACACATTTGCATTTGGCCTCGTTAGGTTTTTAAAAAACAGTTCCCCAGAAACTCTTATTGCTCATTAAAGGCAAAAAAATATAATCTCAACGTTAACTTTCAAAAGAGAATATCCATCTTCTTCATATTAAAAAACCATTTCCTCTTTTAAAAAGAATGGCGTTTTTGCAAAAAAGGAGTGGGTATGCAGTCTATTGGTTTTAACACAGCCTTCTATTTCTCTGGTGGAACATTAGAACTCCTGGATTTCTTGTTATTGTGATTTACCAAAAACAGTTCTTTGCCTATCTATATTTCCAGTGGTTAATTCACAATTTGATTATAACCAGTCTTCCCATAATTCTTTGCTTTAAAGCCCTTTGTGAACCCACGTTCTAAAAATGGCCCTAATATTAACTGTTGTTTACAAGACAAGTCTTTTCTAACAAATTGCTTAAGACCTTCTGGTGGAAGCTGTTCTAATCGCAATTAGCTGTTCTTCACGGAGTCTTTCTAATAAATAGCAACCTAAACTTCTCGGTGAAGCTTTGTTCAACTTTGTGAAGCTGTTCTAATCGCAATAGCTGTTCTTCACAGAGTCTTTCTAAAATTGCTTAAGCTTTGTGAAGTTGTTCTAATCGCAATAGATGTCCTTCACAGAGTTATTCTAAAATTGCTTAAGCTTTGTGAAGCAGTTCTAAATGTAATAATTATTCTTCACAGAGTCTTTCTAATCGTACAATAAGCTTTGTGAGGAAGTTCTAAACTTGATAACTAACTCTGACAAATGCTTTCTAATTCCGCTGCAATAGAATTCTGATTTTTGTTTTTGAAAGTTAAATTTTTAGAAAACCCAATTCACCCCCCCTCTTGGATTGTGTTTTTGTTTTTGAAAGTTAAATTTTTAGAAAACCCAATTCACCCCCCCTCTTGGATTGTGTCATATATAAACGGGACCCACATAGACCATTCCGGTTCGATTCGAACCGATTTGGTCTAATTCAATGGTTCGGCTCGATTTGCTCGGTTTGCAGGTTTTTCATTTGATTTTCAGATTATTCGTGTGGTTTTCAAAAAATTAATTTGATTTTCGAGTCCGGTTCGATTTATTTAATTACTTTAGTTAGATTCCGTAACTTTTTCTCCATTTACCCAATAATAATAAAAATATTAATAGCACAATATTTGGTTTAATTAATTTATATATATTTAGAATAGATTAAGTTGTTGGAGTTTCGTATTATTTCTCAAAAATTTTAAGTGTTCTCAAATCGAAAATTCCGATGATATATTTGGGCTTAGGCCCAACTCGCAAACTTGGGCTCAAATGAGATTGTTTGGTATTTATAGTCCATATAGTTGAAAATCGAGATTTTTGATTTAATAAAAATTCGAAAGTTTCGAAAATAAAAATTCGGGGTATTTCAAAAATATATACAATCAAATATGACAAACTAATTTAAAATTCGGCACCGCGGGTATTTGTTCAAAAATACTATACAATCAAATATGACAACACTAGTAAAGACAACAAATATATTAATATACTTTTTTCTCCCCTCGTCTTTTTTTATTCTCTCTCCTTAAATAAAATATTACTATTATATTCAATTGAAAAATTTATTCTTTAAAAAAATATATTCCCAATCCATATTCATACAAACATAAATATAAAGCAATATTAATAAAACAATATATATTTTCTTTTCCTTTTTTTTATCTATATCCTAAAAGAATTAAAATATTTTAATAAAATAAAAATTATAGAAAATTTTTTCCAAATGTTTCATTAAATATAGGTGTATTATATTCATTTAAAAATCCGAAATTGAAAATTTTCAAATGTTTCATTATTATATATATTCATTAAAATGAAATTTAGTAAATATAAAATTCAAAATTTTGAAATGCTTAATTTTATATATGTATTTACTTAAAAAATTATTTTTTTCGATTCATTAGGAAGCCTGATGGGCCGAAATAATACTGTGGGTTACACAACAATCAAATTGGTAACTCACCTAATAAAAAAAAAAAAACATTTTAATGCATATAGATATATAAATATATCAATAAAATATATTTTTTTAAATTAAAATTTTCAACTGTTTAAGGTCCAATTATGTAAATTCTATTTGAAAATTTACTTTTTAAAAAATACATCCAATCAAATCTTACGAACATAAATAACAAAAACACTAATAAAAATTAATATACCTTTTTTCTTTTTTTTTTATCGCTCTCCTAAATAAAATATTATGTATATATAGTATTTTGAAAATTTACTTTAATTTTTTAAAAAAATATCCAATCATATCATTTACAAAGGAAAAAAATTATTTCTTTCTTTTTTTATAAAATATATTTCCTTAAAAAAGGAATTAAGATATTTAATAAATAAAATATTAAAAAATTTTCCAATTCTCATTATTCATATATATTCATTAATAAAAAAATTAAATTTAGTAAAGATTAAACTTAAAATTCATTATCATATATATTCATTAAAAAAATTAAATTTAGTAAAGATAAAACTTAAAATTTTAAAATGTTGAATTATTTATATTTATTTATTTAAAAAATATATTTTTTTGATTCATTAGGATGCTTAATGAGTCAAGATAATACTGTGAGCTACACAATAATCAAATCGGTAAAAACACTTGTAATTGAGGGGACTCAAACTCGAGACCTTTCACTTTTCACATAAGTGAGAAGACAATGAAATCACACATGATTGGCTTAAAATTAAGTTTTATAAATTATATCTAATCAACTAATAAACTGTAATTTTTTAATTGGCTATCATTAAGGGTATTTTAGAACATTTTAAATTTCATTAAGGGTGAAATAGAAAATCTCATTATTTTCCCTCATTTTCACTTTTATATACAGTATAGATGTATTACTTCTGTTAAATTATTATTCCAACTCATGGTGCTAACATAGTATAGTATGATCGTTACATTATATAATTATGTTTCTAATATATAAATAAAATAAAATATATAAATAATCAAAATATTATAAACTATAGATATATAAATATAGATATATAATATGATAAATGATAGATATGGATACAAACATAGTTGATTAAAATTTTTAAGTCATAACTATTACTAGAAATAGATATTAATTTTTAGATTTTAAAAATAGCTTAAGTTAATTGTCAAATCAAAACATAAAATAATAAAACAAATTCAAAAATTTTAAAAAAGAAAAAATAGAATATATATAATGAATAAAGAGAGAGTTGAATATTTCTTTTTACTTATAGGTAGTTAGATAAGATGGAATGAATTGCATTCTTAGATGAACTTTAATGGAAACATATATTTTTCTATAAAAAAAAAATTGAAGTCCTTTTTTTAAATTTTAAATTAGTTAAATTAGTTTCTCGCCTAGCATCAAGAAAATAAAATAATTCTTTTCTATCCATTTGTTTTTTTTTTTTTTTTTTTTTTTTTTTTTTTTTTTTTTTTTTTTTTTTATTTTTTTTTTTTTTTGTTGGTGGCAAATTTTCCTATTTGGGGTTGTTTTTTATTAAGGGACAAAAACAAAATGAGACAAAAGGTTATCAATAAACTATTCCTATGATAAAATTTCGAACTTCTTTGATTTTTTTCTAAATAACTAACGAATTTTTTTTCTAATTCAGACAATTTTATTTTCAATAATTATTAATCAATTCCCACAAAAAATTAGTTCCAGTTCTCTGCGTAAAGCCAACTAATCTCAAAGACAACACATTTTTTCCTTACAATTTCTTCCTTTATAGACCTTACTCAGACACCTACTCATCCAATGTGCAAATTTGGAGCCTCAATTTTCTGCCCCCTTCTTTACATTAGGCCTGCCTCTACATAGCTTAATATAGACAACTAGAAAATGGGGTTCAACAAGTTGGTAGTAAAAGCCCTAATTTTCATGGCATTAACCATGGTTCCCCTGTCTCTAGCCCACCACTCTGCCCACCACTCTGCAGCCCACGACTCTCCAAAAGACTACCTCGCCGCACATAATTGCGCCCGCGCAGAGCTAGGGATCGCACTGCTTTGTTGGAACACAACATTGGTAAAATATGCCAAACACTATACAAAGTCTTTAGTTGCAAGTTGCAGCTTAGAGCATTCAGTAGGTTGTCCTTATGGGGAGAATTTAGCGCAAGGTTTCGGCAAATTCAGCGGTGTGGATGGTGTGAAATTATGGGTAGATGAGAAGGCTCATTATGATTATCAAAGCAATACTTGTGTTGGCGGTAAATGCCGGCATTACACTCAGGTTATTTGGAAAAACACCAAGGAAGTAGGTTGTGCTAGTGTTAGGTGTGGTGAAGGATGGAAGATTATTAGTTGCAACTATTATCCTCCGGGGAACTATGTTGGTGAGAAGCCTTATTGAATTTCTATTGGTTAGAGAGGGATTAATGTTAGAGAGGGATTAATGAAATAGGGATAATTAATTAACTTCGATTAATTAATATTTAATAACCTACATATATCATATTAATGCAAGCAATATATTTTTCTAATATGTATCAGAGAAATATGTTTCTTGCTATATATCAATCAAACTGCGAACTTGCTCTAATTATTATAGTTTTTTTTTTTCAATTTTAACTTTAATTGAATTTTTTTATTTCAATTCATATATGTTAACTTATATGCTTTTGGTTAACTACTTTTTTTCCACAATTTTTCAATTTATTAAAAGGTCCAATGAGTCAAAATAATACTGCGAGCCAAACAATAAAGTGGTGAAAAAATCTTGTGTTTGACACGACTCAACTTAAGATTTTTCATTATTGACATAAGTGAAAAAACTAATGAATTAAAATATATTACCATTAAAAGCAACTTTTAAAATTTGCAATCCTCACTATAAATAGCAACTTATAAAATTTTTTTAACTTTAGCTTTAGCTAAACGAGATCACAGCCGTGAAATTAGTAATTTTGATAGTGAAGAAGGATGAGACCAAAATAGAATTGTTTACGTATGATCCCAAAACTATCTACTTTGGTTTTGGTTAAGATCCCATATTTTTTAAAAAAAAACTTATTAGTTTTATAGCATGGATTAAAAACCATAGTCATTTAAATAGTAAACCAAATCAACTTGTCCTCTGACTCTCAAAAGAAACTTCAAAAGGGACAACAATACATGCTAGCGTCTTTATGCACAATAAATTTATACAATGCGAGTAAGTTAATATTTATACAAAATATTTAATTAAATTGAACAAAGAAAATGAGATAATACTAATCACATGGTGGGTTTGGTTGACTTTCTTATTTATGTGAGGAGTGAGAAGTCTCAAGTTCGAGCTCTTTCGTTAAAATTTTTTAACGAGAAACATAATCCCTATAATGAGGAACATGAATATGCAACACTATATACTACATGGTACTAAATTTTAAAATTTGACTATAGAAACACTGAATTTAATTTGATTTATTTGCAATAATTCCTATTTAATATGTTGAAATATCCTACTCAACCCTTGCTAATTCTACAAATTAAACGCTTAAGGAATTTGTTGGTCAATTTGATGTCAAGGAGACATATTAGTGCTAAGACTTGACTTGAAAAAGCAAAAAGAAAAAGAAAGAGATGTGGTAATTTCTGTATACAAGATAAACGACCGATAGAAATATGAATTTGACTATTAGTGCTAAGACTTGACTTGCAAAGTCTATAAAGCAAAAGCTAGCTTTTTTTTTTTTTTTTTTTTTTTTTTTTTTTTTTCCCCAAATTGTTGTCTTCTCTAAAGATAAATGATTTCCTTTAATTGGAAATTTCCATGAAAGTTGAAATATTTTCATCTAATTATCATGAGAGTCTCTGGGTACAGTGGACTGTGGTAGGTATGCATTAATTATATAGTTTGACATGAAAATTAAAATTTCTGAAAATTCATAAATAAAAATAACCCACTTAGGTTTGACATGAAAATTAAATCAAAATTTAAAAATTAATTAACAAAGTTGTGTTAGTTATGTGGCTAACATTACTTCTTCTTAATGGTGAAACAATTAAAATTAATTATGGTTCAAATTATATTTTATAAATGGATGATATCACATAATCTGGAATGTGAAATAGTAAAATATGGAAACTTACAAAAAGGAGTAAAGATATTTCCAATTCACCAATGATCGACAAGTAGTGCAATTGTTGTGCATTTGTGCATTACATTATTGTATATATTCCATTTTGCTATCAATTAATTAAAAAAGAAAAATACTCATCTAGATTCCATCTATGGGCCTACATAGACCAGAGGAATAAATGTCATTAATTATTTTTTTAATTCCAAAAAATAAGAAAAATTAATAATCCAAAAAAAATATCTTGTATCTTCCTCCTCTAACCTCAGCTCTGCATGGTGATTTTGTTTCGAGTGATTTATTTTAAAATCACATCTTGGTAAATCTGAAATTGTCTATTCTCTTTTTTTTTTTTTTTTCGTGTTGTTTCAGTTTAGTTTCTCAGGACCCTCTTCATTTTCATTTTGCGTCTGGGTATTTGCCAAATCCGCAAAAAGATTCATTTTTCTTTTTGAGGATTCAAAAGTTTTATTTTGAGAAATTAAAATTTTTTTATAATCGAAGATGGTATGCCAGTTTTGTTGCATTATCTTTGTTTTTCTTTTTCTTACGATTGTTTATATTGCATCGACCACAATATAATTATAAGTATATTATGTAAGATATAAAACATTTCATGCTAATAATATATCAATTCAAAAACCTATTGCAGCGAACTTAGGTGGAATCCAAGTTTTGGAAGTTGTTTGGGTTGAGAGTATGGAATCAATCCATAGATTATGAAATTGATGAAAATTCACATCACATCATTTGATTTGAAAAAAAAAAAAACATTAATCATGATTAAAAGATATTTTTGAGAATATAATTAAGATGTGACCTTAAAAATATATCGTATCTATATAAATATAGTAAAAATAGAGTATGGAAGCTGATTAATGACTTGGGGCTTAGTGTTTTTTTTGATTTTAATTTTAATTAATTTTTTTATGATTTTCAATATATATGTTAGAAATTTTCTATTAAATAATGATATTAAAAAAATTGAGTAATTGTCATTTAATAGATATCAAAACCAATATTGCAGAAAAAGGACAATCTATACGTCAAGAAGAATTTCTATAGATTTCCTTTAAATAAAAGATTTGTTGTTTAGGAATCATCATTTGCAAGCTTTATGCTTTTATATTTAACTTTTATTTAAATTTCTTTCTTCCTATTATTTTAAATTCTTAAACTTTCAATTATTAATATTTCAAAGTATAGAATTTCAGTTTTATAACTTGCTTGCAAGATTAAAATAATATTATAAAATTTTAGTGTATTTAAAAAATTCTAAAATTCATTACTTATATTTCAATCAAATCTAAAATAAAATAGTTTTATAAATTTAAAATATACATAAATAAAATTCCACCTTTCCAGTCATTTCAATCCCTTACCCTAAGGATTATTAAATGATAAAAAAAACATTCATTCAAATTTTATATGACTCTTGGATTTGAACTCGATAAAAAAAAATCTATCATTCAAATTTTAATGATCTCTTGGATTTGAATCCAAGAACCTTTTGCGATTTTCTTTGAGCCCGCTTCGTCTCTCTTTTTTTTAGTATCAAATATTTTGCTCGCTTGATTTAGGTGATAAAAATTTTAAATCAAATTCACTAAATAAAAAGAATAGCAAGAAAACATAAATAAATTAAATTTTATTAATTTTTTTCTTCAAATCAAACTTTAGCCCCCGTTTATCTCTAAAAAAACCTAAAAGCCTTTTTTTTTTGTCCTCTTCCATGGATGGCTATTGGTGAAATATCGTGGGTGGTCATCTCTTGTCCTCCTTTGTATGTTTTTATTCCGAATAATCCTCAAATTTGTGTCTTTTGATATATATCCGAGTTATTATTATCCAAAAATTGGAATTATTCTTGTTCATATTTCGAGATTTTATTCTGAAATCTAGTTGTTTTGACAGTTCCTATCACAATTATGATGATTTTGTTTATTTTGTGATTTGGGCAATTATGTAGAAGAAAAATGCAAATCGTCTCATCGGACTTGTAAAAATATTATAGACTCGAATAGTGGCCATGAATAGCCATCAAGTGGAGTGAACGATCGCCTATGAATATATATTATGTTATATTAACTTAATCGGATACTTTAAATCAAATTGTATTTTTTTCATTCTTAGTATAGGTGGTTTATTATTAGACTTATGATATAAAAATAGGTTTAAAATTATAGTACTTATGATAATAAAATAACTATAGAAATTATGTTGTTTGTACTATTCCATATCTGTATCCGATTCCTCTCAATGAAATTTTTTTTAGTTTGATTTCTTCTAAAAAAATTAAATTATTAAACTTAAACTAAACTTTCAAAGTCATTGAAGGTGAAATGAAAATCACAGCAATTTTTAAACAATGAAGGTGACATTAGAAATTGAAAATACATGTGAATAACACTTTTTTTTTAAATAAATATATAATATGTTTTTAAAAATTAAATAATAATAATGCCATTTTTTTTTAGTGTTTGGTCCTAGTTTTAAAAAACATAAGATTGAGTCCCGAATTCTCTTCCCGAAATAATTAAAAAGATAAAAATAGAAATTAACCACATGGATTAGCCTAAGTAGAAATGATCTAAGCGTGATATGAACTAGTCCCAAATCGGTAAGAAATCAATTGAGTTAATTTATCTAGTTTGTACTCTAATTTTAAGAGGTTAGAATTGATTTGATAAATGGATTTGATTTATTAATCTATTCAAATTCAAATTATGAGGCTTCTAGATAACAAATGAAAATTTTTTTATCCGTTTTGTAGTTTTCTTAGTCGCAAGTATGAAAGTTGCCTACTGTTGTTCTATCTACAATCAACCAGTCCACGGCACCTATCCATCACAAACACAAACTAGATATCTTCTTTAACGGAGTGTTACACAATAGTCCTGCTTCAATGGTGGTTTTTCTTTTTCATTTTGTTTTTAATTTCCATCAAGATTGTGATATTTTTATTTATGTCCATTTATGTAGGTGATATTTTTTCCCTCTATTTTCATATTTTTTTTGCAATTTCTCGGTTTTCCCGAGTGCTACAATAGGTTACAAAATTAGAATTATCATTGTATAAAACGTAATATCCCCTAATTGGTTTGGGAGTAGATTTTGAAAAAATGCTAAACTTTCATTAATTTTTAATTCTAAATAAAAAAAATTTTTTTTGTTGCTGAATCAAAAAGAAAAAATATAGTAACCCCATTGATCCTTAGCAGAACTAAGCTTTGCTAGTATATTTAAGCACTAGCCAAACATTAAGTATAATAGTGACAATTGAATCTACATAAGAGAGTTTTTAACAGTAATTAAATAAA